TATGACATTGCGTAAAGTAGCAGTCGACTGGCGAATAGGTTACACGCCCTCGTTTCAGTACATGATCGATACTTCTGTGAGGAAAATGATACATACAGATACGATATTTTATAATGATTAACGACGTGCCCTACAACGCTCGCGTTCCACGGAAGTATGTTATCTTGTTCGCTCTGCCGTGTAATTGGTACGTATATCACGTAAGTCTAATTCGCGCATGTGGCCGCGTTATAGTTTCTCGATGCGTGTCCGATCGTTGTCAACGAGAAGGGTCAAGTAGCCGTGGCCCTTTAATTCAGCCGGTCGAGTTGAAGCGATGTCAGACAGAGTTTGTCGTGTTGTGAAACATCGTATGAGAATAGCCGTGATGGTCAATGACACGTAAAATGGCAAAAAGATACCTTAACGCCCGGTGTAACCTCAAACGCCGGTGAAATTTAAATCCAGTGGTGTTTTGTCGGGCAATTATTGGAGCGGCGTACGATCGTTAACACCCGTAACGTTCTCCCGGCTTGTTTCGGAGCACGTACTGGCAAAAAGGCAAAAATCAACGTTATCATTCACGTTCAATATATATCTTCTTTCTATGTTTAATTCTTTTTAATTCTATAAGTCTTTCCTTTTTTAGATCCTTATAAGGGTTTATCGTAAAAATGAGAATTCCCACGCACGATTTTATTTTCCTCGGACAGTTGTCGCACTTTCTGCAATTATATGCACACCTGCACATGTCTTTTTTCTGGATCTTTATCATTATAGGGATCATGTGTTATTTTTAATCTTTATCGTAAGGGGCAGAATTTTCACGCAAGGTTTTTTTTCGGACAGTCTACGCTTTCTGCAATTACATTTGCTGGAACATTTAAATTATCGACATAAATATCTGTTTTTCACAGTAATCAGTTTTTTTTGCCAGCAAAAAGTATGAAGGCTAGCAGCGATTTTTCTTTCGGTAACGTGAGACGAATTTCTCGCTGTATCTGTGGCTATATAAGCGACCGAGATGCCTTCGGTCTCTTTTAGTTTCTCATTACACGGTGAAACCGCGAACACTGCCAATTCGAATATATTTCAACTAGGCTCTCCCTAGTCGCTAACAAGCAACGCGGTTATTCATGGTAAACACCGCGATCGTTTGAAAAGTATTAGCGCGCGCGCGCGAGAGAGAGAGAGAGAGAGAGAGAAAAGCTTTTTGCGTTTCGGTGAAAGTTGCAACTTTCACAGGTAAGAAAAGAGGAGAGAATCTCGTGCTTCCGGCGCGAGGAAGAATGGAAAAGAAAAATCGGAGTAAAATTCGCCTTTGTTTCCCATTCTTCGTACATTCTTTTAGACAACCGCTAGCCAATTTGTTTGGCATTCAAGATTTCGCATTTTTTCGCATTTTTTCCCGGAGGTGCGTAATTCACAATGGCCCTGGACAGCATGGACAAAAAACGATGGCACCCGAAAGGCGGCCAGTTCAATAAATTTGTCAAGAAACGAATACCCATTACCGGATGGTTGCCGAATTATAATTCCGAGAAGTTCTTGAACGATGCTATCGCCGGCATCACCGTCGGCCTTACTGTTATGCCGCAAGGACTTGCCTACGCCACTCTAGCCGGTTTAGAGCCTCAGGTGAATAATATCTTTCTCCAATGAGACAGTTGTTCGTTCAAAGTAATAAATCGTACGTCTCCTACGCAGTATGGCCTTTATTCCGCATTTATGGGAGCCATGGTGTACATAGTATTCGGCTCGTGTAAAGATATCACGATTGGGCCCACTGCCCTCATGGCACTGATGACTCACGAGTACGTTCAAGGCAGAAACGCGGACTTTGCAATACTACTAGCCTTTTTATGCGGTTGCTTACAAATATTGATGGCTTTCTTACGACTAGGTAGCGTGTCATGTTATTAACTCAATTTTCACGCAACGCAACATTTTTTTTTTTTTTT